TTTTAAAATAAATTGAAAAAAACTTAAAACATTAAAAGTCAAGTAGGGAAAAGAAAACTTACATTTACACTATACCATTCATAACATTTACACTATACCATTCAAAGTCAAGTAGGGAAAAGAAAACAATTTGCACCACAATGGTTGTAACATTTCACCTATACCATTCGTATCATAACTACAATAATTCATAACTTTCACTTTAGAGATGCCCACTATAAATTCACTTTATAACAAAATAATACTATAAATATTTTAACTTTCATTGCAAAAATTTATACAGCATTCTTCAGATGTTAAAAAAATGTTAAAAACATGATAATTAAATCGAAGGAAGGCCCACGTAAGAAAAGAATTACAGGTGTTGAACCAATTCTATACATAATAACCAGGCATCTTGAACAAACGGGGGCCACGGCCCCTGTAGGCCTACACTAAGTTCCGTCCCTGCAGAGATGTTTTCCATCATGCAGCAGGCAGAGTTCCAAATGATGGTTCAAAACCGCACACACCTGCAAGTCAGACGTAAAAAATAATAAAAATAAAAAAGTCCATCAGAATTTTTCTGAAAATTGCCAAAACTTGAATATTTATTGAATATAGTACATGTACAAACTTCTCAAGAATAAGTAAATTTGACACCTAAAGCTCCTAACAGTGTAACTTTCCATCAAAATTGATCAGAAAAGTGCATAAACTAGGAGTATTCCTTCTAATCTGATAATTTCCAACCACTGAAATAAATATTAAAAAAACAGAAAAGAAAAAAGAAAGCATCCACAATATCGTTTCAGGATGAACTTCTCAAGAACAAGTAAATTTGACACATAAGCTCGAATAGTAATTACTTTCAATCTTGTTAACATATTTTAAAATGACTGACCTGAATAGAAGGAATGAGGATGCTGGCTTCTTCGGTTTGTTGGATCAGCAATCTTCTTCTTCTTCTTTTCTGGCGATTCTCTTTCTGTTTCTCTCTATGAGAAAAATGTGATGTGATTGTAGTTTGTTCAATGATTTTTTTTTAATGTGATTTAATTGTTTTATTTACTGTTTTAATGGTTCTTCTTTACAATTATTATTTTTGTTATGAAAAAATATGATTGTAGTTAGATAGTATAAAAATATTTGTAATTTGATTTGATTTTTTTCTGATTTGATTTTTAAAATACCAATTATTGATAATGATTAGATTATATTTGAAAAAAAAAATTTTTGTGTTACTTTTAAACCACTGTGTTTTTTTTTTTTTTTTTTTTTTTTTTTTTTTTTTTTTTCTGTTTTACATTTTCAAGCATTTGTTTATTTTTGTGTATAAATTCAATTTTTCAAAATTTGGTTTGTTTGTTACTTAATTGTGTGTGTTTTTTAAAAACTAGCAACTAGGCACACGCATCTCATTTAAAGTTATAATATAAAATTGACATTTTTTTAAATAATGTACATATATATAACCATGTCCAATGTAACATTTGATATTAATATATTTGATATTTGATAAATAAAATATATATATATATATATATATTAAAATATGTACAAATCTTTATAAAAAAAAGGCACACACGAAATTAAAGAAACAAACAAATCAATTTTTTGGAAACATAATAAACCCACAAACACAAATTTTGATAAAAAGAAGAAAAATAAAAGTCAACTTTTTTATTTTTTTATTTTTATAACTTGAACTGAGAGTGATTAACAGGGAGGGAGAATAATTTCCAAAAGGCTTATTTCCATAA